ATTACATAAGCAAAATATTTAGCCTACAAAATTTACACTAGAAGCCAAAATGTGTAGTTCTGGGACCTTGCTTGAGCAAGGGCTGCAGGTTTTGGCCATGGTTCCTTAAAGGTAGCCAATCCCTAAAAGGCTGATTAAAAACGAAACATTGATTCTCAGTGCAGAGTACAAATCTTTGTCCATACAGTCCACAGCTTCATTTTGTGTTACCTTGCAGCACAAAGCCTATCAATACATTTCTTAGATCTATTGCAATTTACATGAATTACAAGGTGCTAATCCTTAGCCTATGCACAGGTAGGATGGGATTCATCTGTTCTAACTGCTGATATCAAAGATAATCATCTACAGCCTATGCCTTAGATAGGCCACCTACAGGATGACTAACATAGGATAGGACCCAAGCTCCTTTGCAGCCAAAAGGACGGATCATCCAGAGAGTAGTTCATCTTATCCTAAGGCAGGTACTTTAAAAAGCACGTATGATAAATCATAGTCTGAAGGCTGCCTATTTCTCTCTAGTAACTACAAGCAGATTTAGGATGACAAGCTCAGACTTCTTGTGTGGTCATGCTCAGATTTGCCTCATGTTACAACAATAGTTGTAAACAATATATAATTATTTTCAGTAAATAGAAGCCACACAGCAAAATAAAACCTGAAACTAATCTTCTCCTTGAAATTAAATAAGAACCAGTCAAACCATGAGCATCAATTCTAAATACTGAATGTCAACTGATGAATTACATAACATCCCATCCTTTTGTTTCCAAAATACTGGGTTTGAGGTCATTCAACAGAAAATCCCAAATTTCAATTTCTGAAACTGTCAGATTCTGCCCCTGCTTGACTTGTCTATGTGATACTCAGAGATCAGGATATAAAACATAAAGAACATGGCATAAAGAGCAACTTTGACTGTCTCAGCATTTAGAGAATTTTGCATGGAATTGGGATACAAAAATGCCATTTATTTTATCTGTCACTAAAAGCAGCTTCTCTAGTAGCAGCTAAATATGGGATCATAAATCAAGATCATAAATCACAGGCTTTGATAGCTAATTCTTTTTTGATTATTTTATGGCCAGGAAAAAGTCACCTTGATTGCACTGAATATTTCTATGAAATCTCTGTTTAAGTTTTACTTTCTGATTATCTTTTCCACACCTTTTTTCATTGAGGAAGAGAAGCCCTGTGTTTTATATCATTAAATACAATGTAAAACCTCACTAGTCATCTAAACTTACTGCAATGTTTGGGAACTAATGAACTACTTCCACTCAAGTCCTAATGAACTCCCTGTCGTAGTGCAGGCTTTTGTTGGGTGTTAGTACCAGAGAAAATTATGGTTTAGTCTTCTAGAATCAAGTTGGAAATGACAGTCTGCTTCCATAATCCTCCCCCTCACAAGCAGCTGAAATGTTGTAAACAGATTTATTTACTTCCTGGATTTGGCATTCAAAACTGATGCTTCTTCTTCATGGGTATTTTCATTTTTTAACTAAGCAGAAGTTTTAAGTCCACCTCCCAGAGCTTTGTTCAACTGCTGAGAGATCTACCATTAAAAAAAAGTCCTTCCGAATTCTGCATTTCTATGTTCGTGCTCCTGCTATTATTTTTCTGGTCTTCAGAATTCTACTCAACAAAAGACAGTACACTGGAGCTTAAAAGAAAGTACTGAGGTACATGGACACTAAACAATCCTTTTTTCCTTATCATTTCTGAGCAATCATTCAGTCTCAATCTGTCTGCTTACAGATTCCTGTAACTCCGCAACCCATGAGGAGTGCATCTGAATGAGTACGAACATGCAGGAACAAGACTCAATGTATCACAATACTTGGTAATTATTCTCTTGAAAACGTATTTGTCTAGATTCTGATCCCCAGCAACATTTTATTTCTCATTAATTACTATTTTGCCTCTTCAAAATCTCCCTGGGAGGGATTTTTTTTAAAAATGCACTCAAAGTCCAAACAGATTGTGTTAAGCAGTTCTCTTTTATCTTCTGACTTATTAGCATGCTCAAAACTTTCCTGTCAGTATTTTCATATACTGAAATCCATATTCAGTGGATGTTTTAATACTCAGAATTATTACCTCAGTTAGGTTTTTTTGATGAAATAAGGCTCCATACACTGCAATTTAGATTTTCAGCAGATTTTCAGCAGATTAGCTACTTTATTATTGAGTTATATTAGATCCCCCTGGACAAATACCAGACAGTCCTCTCCTAAAATTTTTGATTTGTTGAAGTGTAAATGTTAGTCTAGCATCTTATCTCCTGATGCCTCAACCTGTAATTTTCACTGGATAAATTAGTTCCTAATATAATAACCTGTGATGAAGATAACTACATAAATGTAGTTTCTCTTCAATATACTTATCCTCTCTAATTGGGTTCTTTACTTGGTTATATTCCCACAAATCAAATGATTCTGTCAATGGCTTCCTACTTCTGAATGATTCACTCTTCTCAGAACTGCAAGCTTAAGGAAGAAAGCTATAGCTGAAGTGAACTTACATCAATTTCATTCACAACTTCGAATCTGTTCACTTTGTAGCATATCTGATATTAAGCAGTTCACTGTTGAAGCATTGTGTAACATACTGCACCTGGCATGACAGACTCAATAAAATTGTCCTGCGTGTACTGTGTGACCTTTGCCTAGGTTTGCATACTGAAGTGAAATTACAGATCTTTGTACTGGATGCACAAAGTAAGCACTTTTAAAACATAATCTGATTGTACTTTCTCTGAGTTCAATTATCTCATTTCTCTTCATCTCTGTACTGCTGGTTTTTTCTGTTTGCTTCATTACCTGGTTCTTGATACTCCTCACTTTGCATCTCCTTGCTTTGTTTTCCTTCTTTTTATTCTTAATTGTTATAATATTCTTCTTTTTTTGTGTGTTCTGCATCCATTTGACCATTTTCTGCCTCCTACTTCTTCCTCTCTGTACAAGCCTTCCCAACCTGCTGCTTTTTCATTTTATTCTGCCGTGTGCAGAAAAAAACCCTGCCACACAGTTCATCAGATAGTAGACAACAAACGTATGGGAATGTTATAGAATCTTATCATAGGAACAGTCATTTCCATCACATCAGTTTATCAGTGCCAGAATAACTGCTACTGGCATATTACAAATGCTTCAGACATACAATCTGTGGAAGGAAAAGCAGCAGATTCCCACTTTCTCAAACATGTAAAAACTAGTGCACAGAAGATAAGTCAACATTTAAGCTCCACCATCAATCTAAAGTACACCACAGGGGCTTCTTCATCACCTGCAGTTTACATCTTCTGGACCAGTTGCAAAGTCCATTTGTTAACACCCATAGCTATCCAAAAACATATACAATGCACAGGCTTTGATGATTCTCTTGATGGTTGGTTGCCTCTATTGTGCCATTTGGTTGAATTTTGCTAGTGCAATACAGGAATATAAAACAGAAGATACTGCCTGACATGCCTACACATCTGAGAAAACCAGAAAACAAAAGTTTAGTGTAAAAATGATCACCAGTGCCTAAGGTTTGTTGCTATGCACATGTTGTCTTTTCTGAATTGACTGTCTATTCCCTTATCCACACCTACCTGAGACCTAAAATTCAGGCATCCCTGAGCTTAATCCTCCCGGAGAACTCAAATTGCTAGTTATGTTCTCACCTCAGAATTTAGTTTCAGAAAAATGTGGCAAACAGTGGTGGCAGAGAACTTTCAAACAATGGACCTTGTATAAGAGAAGTTGCTCAGGAAGGCAAACCCTGACTCTACCTGACAGATTAGCAGCTAGTTAGAGCATTTAAACTCTGCTACAAGTTATGATTTCTTAATACAGTGAAAGTCCTTACTTCTCTATTCAGCGATTTTCCATCTGAAACATATAACCAGGCTAGGGAGAAAGGACCCAAGCATTTATGAGCTATCCTTGGTTGGATGTGTGTGTTAAAATCCTCGGGTTGGACAAGATGACCTCCAGAGGTCCCTCAAAACCTAAACCATTCTGTTACTCTGTGATCCTCTGAGGCTGAGGTGTAACTAGAAGTCAGATCTCCCTTTCTCAACGCAAATGCTCAAACTACCAAACTACTGCGCAAAAAGTGAGCAGTAGCATTATCTCATCACTATTTCTGGAGGAAAGAGACATCCCAGTATTTATTCCCAGACAGGTTTTCAGGCACTTAATCTCTGAGCTATCTACCTCCATCTGTTTTCAAGTCCAGGTATTTTCTGAGCATGATGTAGTTTGCTTTACTAATAATCCTCAAGGAATCTCACTGTTAAGTTTCTCCTTGAACCTATGCCTTTTTGCATTCACAAGGACCTTCACAAATAATCTCAGATAAGTAGCTCCGTGTAACACAAAAGAAAATGGAAATGAAAGATTGTTCAAGGGCGAGTACCATTCAGAATTGTTTCAAGTTTAAAAGAAGGTACTCTAGAGAAAGATAAATACTAGATAATTCCAGAGTTTCATGCACTAGAGACTCCACACACTTCAACACCTGGAGTTTTCAGAATAACTTATATCGAGAGTATTTTTTTTCTTAGGAGTCAATTTGTTCTGTCTCTTTTATACCTTTAATTCTACAGTGTATGAAGTGATACATTATCAATACTATCATAAAATAAAAGTATGCAGGGTATTTTTTAAGGTGAAGGCAACAGTGTTATGAGTTCTCAGCAGCACAAAATAAATTTTATTCTGTCACCTGTGATGATAAAAATAGATTTGTATAATAGAATGTGTATGTTTATAAACACTGCTTTTTTTTTTCAATTTCCAGAGAAAACTAGTCACCATTAGTAGTTACAAAACACAGAGCAAAATTACTAAGTATATTCAATCTTAAAAAAGAAAAATCACAGTAAAGACTATTATTTCAATTCATCTAAAATGTAAAAATTTGGTAGTATACTTTTCTACTGGTACAAAAAAAAAACCTGTAACAGCAACTCTGATAACTCTGTATTACTTAAGAATCTTTGTATTTACCCACGCACTGGAATATTCATATTCCTTGCAGATTTAGCAACTTCTTCAAATTTTCCTATGCTTTCTTCAATTGAACAATTAATATTCATTTTGCTAAAAGATTCAGATGCTGCACCAAATACTGAGACTTCTGTAGCTCCTGCTGCGATCTGAAAAATACATTTCAATAAACCAGAAGCAAAACACTATATTAAAAGTGTAGGTTAAGCATTCAGTTCTGTATGACATTCTAGAATTTTAAAGTACATTATAAGTATATCATCCATATCTAAAACTTAAGTTTCATTCCAATTTTTAAAAAATATATTACATACAAACAGATTGAATCAAATTTTGAGTTCATTCACTACGGCATATTTCCTTCCTCTTCTTTGCAATTAGGTAAACATATTTTTAAAGTGATAAATGATAAATGTATTAAGATGTAGGAAATCACATGAACCAAATATGAAAATAGCAATGATTGATACTCATATTCATTTTTCAGAAAAGGAAAAGATCATATAACAACTCTGAAATATCCATCCGCTGTACAAAGCCTGTTCCTCATGAATGCCAGGAAGTCATTCTCATGCTTAGGAAAGCTCTGTGCCTGTATGTGCCTAGAGCAGCAACAATAACCTACAGGGATTTCTTTGTTAGAGCCAACTCTAGGATCAAGGGCTCCACTGGTCTCGGTGTCATAGTTGATATGGATAATATGGCAAACGTATATGTGAGAGTCTGCTGAGAAAAAGTCTCAGAGCAAATACCAGTCTAGAAAATGTGTAAATGTGGTGACTTCCCTGAAGGGGCAATTAGTCTGAGCTTGTACTCAGTACCTCAGTACTCAGTAAATCAACTAACATGAGGCAAACTAGAATGCTGAAAGCCAAACGATAGGAGAAGAAAACATTTAAGCTTAGGAGAATAGCTAATTAATTAATTCTGACTCTCCAGAGAGAATAATACTCTTTTTTTATGAAACAGAATGGAGCTTTTCCCTTTACTCTCTGCTTCTGCAGGATAATATCTAAGCTTCAGCAACCCTTAGGGGAACAAATATCCTTCCAAATAGAAGGAAGAAAAAAAAATAGCAGCAAGAAAGAACTCAGCACCTACAACTACTTTTGCATTGTTTTCCTTTCATTGTATCACTAAATACGGTATAGAGATATAGCAGATTTAATTCAACAAGCTACCATTGCAGACAAAGTTGTGGCACTGTATATCTATTGATAGTTAACTCGCCTATGTACAGGATTCTGTTTTAACAGAGATTTCATATGCAGTATAGAAACTGAATGACAGACTACACCACAAATGTCCATTAATCAGCATGCTTTCCAAATACAGCTTGTCCTATATCAAGACAAAAGCATAGAAGCATGCAAAATTTTCAGAAAACAAAGAAGTGTAAAGATTTGGCTATCAATGTGTATGTTTTAAGAAGACTGAACTGGTCCATTTTTGCTATTCCAAACACTTTGAGTCTATAATTCTGAATATTTATTTTGCATGAACTGAAACAATTTAAACTTTCAAACCCTACCAAAATGAAATGCAGAATTTAAGAAGTCTAATACATTCCTATAAAGCATTCTCATTTAAATGACTCTTTCCTCATTCTTCTTCACTACTTTCCAATAAGAAGACACTCTTCAGAAACTTTTCTAGAACCAACAAGTCAAAGAAGGAGAAAGAATTATCTTTATACACAAGCATTATCTATAGAAGCTTGCAAAGACTGTTTGATGAATACTTCCATTAAAATTTGAATATAGAGAGCTTAACATCACTCTGTGAATTTGCCCATTTTTCACAACAAAAACTGAGAGTTTTTAATTAAAAAAACTATAGCTTAGTTCTAACAGGACAGGTTACGTGACATTAAATAGCTAGTTTATAGTACTGAACTGAAAATGTCTGAAACATGAAAGAGGACATTGTGGACATCTTCTATGAAGGCACTTACAGCAGAATGAAAACCTTGAAGATTAGGTGTGAGAACAGGATACTGGACTCCAGGATGCCGCTCAATGCCCCTCATTACTTCTTTGTGATCTGCCATCTAAAATATATAAATAATTTGTATTGATCAGCAGTTATTTTCTGATTTTATATAGCTAAGCAGAAATGGGATTAGACTGGGGTTTTGCCTTCATTAGCCATACAGTTCATACAAAAAGAGTAAAAACAAAGGGGTTAAACTGATGTTGTACAAGCACTCTTTTTTGGATTTCTTAACTTTTGAGTATTTGAGTTGCAGGCTTTCCAGTTCTATACAAATACAGAACTGGGGCTAAGATTTCTATGGTGTTTCTTTTTGTGTGTGTCTGCAAAATCACAATTTGCATCATAAATTGGTAGACTTGTGATCATGCTGATCATCAACTGTTACTGCAACTTTTAAACTTACCTCAGTAGACTCAATAGGTGGAATTAACAGAATAACTGACATTTTAAAACCGTCCAAATCTTGAAAACTTCAGCATTCTGATAAATGTGACTTCACAATCTTAAGCATAAGTGAACCTGAATTACTGAACACTGTAATCAGCATGTTTGAAAAGACTAATCACAAGCCTATCCTTAAAAATATGGCAAAATCTCTGCATAGTGTAACTTTTTAATATACTTAGAATTTTCTTTCAAAAGAAGAAAATACTTCTTTATTATAGCAAAGGTCAAAGACCATTACTTTATTCAAGCATTTGTTTTCCTTAGTCTCCCCTCACAAAAGAAACTCTGCCTTTTTAAGATACTGTTATACTTTTCTCACTCAAGATTAAATACAGCCCATGTACTAATCAAGGAGATGAATCAAAGACTTATTCATGTAATAAACTGTAGATTACTCAGACAAGCACATTTTATTGAAAGAAATGGAGGAAAAATGAGTTTATTTTTTAATGGTGTGCATGCCTGAAAACAATACAGTTAATAAAACATATCCCTCATATTCCATGTCTTACAGATTTTGAGTTTTAAAAAATGAATAGTGTATTTTAAATGCTTTTTAAATCAGCTCTCATAAAAGCAAATCTTCCAAGCAATATTAAATTGGATTTCTGATTCTTTCCACACTGATGAAAAGTCATTTGAGCTGTACCATATGAAAAGATATATGAACTACAAAGCTTTCATTACTCCTTATTTTCAGCAGATACTTTACTGATAGCTTTGCAGTATCACAATTCTAAATATGTGTTATTAAATTATACCAGATTTAAGTGATAATATTACTGGCAACCTGGAATCTTCTTGTAACTGGTTTCCTACAATGAAAATGAATGGATTAAAAAAAAATCAGAAAAATGCATGTATGCCTTCTCAAATGTAAGCTCTACATGTATCTATAAGGAAGTGGATATATGGTATGAAAAGTGTCCTATAGCCAGATGCAACTCATTTCTCATCAAGAAACAAGTGATGGCACAAAGCAACTTTTTGTAATTGCTGCTACATAAACTAAATCAGTGTAACCACCTAACATATCTGATAACCTCACAAAAAAACATTTGGTAATGCCTTAGTTTTTTAAGAACAATTTTTCATTCCTTAATTTAATATAAATAGTATCTACATTTCTCATGGCAAGGAATAATGTTTGAAACCAAATGATTAATTAAATGGCAAATGCTAGAACTAATTCCACACTTTAAAATTATAGCCTGACTTAAAACGTACTAGAAAACCAAAAAGACACTTTTTCAACCAGTATAAAGCTGCCAGTTCCAAATAATATTATAGGTATTACATTTGTCCCATTATTATTTTTCCTGTAAGTAAAATTCCATTTTAACACATATTGCATGTTATAAGTTTTTAAATTGTAATAAAATATTTCTTTTCCAAATTTCTTTAAAAATAAGCTTTCTAATGGTAGGTATTTATAATTTTTGGCTGTTTAGATTATAGGTGTGGGATCCTGTTTTATATGGCACCTTGCTACTGTGGAACTTTTTCTTTTAGCTTTTTTCAGTAAAAAAATCTCTGCCAAACAAAACAGTGGATGGGAAACCATAAAAGGGCTTTAAAATACTAAAAAAAGAAATAAGTGAATGAGTGATCTAAACATAACCATGAATTCTATTCCCATGACCTATGAAAAGAAAAAAGAAACGAGCAAAGAAAAGACACAGTCAAGACTGCGCTCCCTATCAAAGCAACACAATCTTATCTTTTAAATAAAAAAACATTTTAAACACAAATTAAGCCATTACAATAAAGTATTAGACATGAATTTAAGATAAGAAGGGATTGCTCATTTTTTCCAAAACTGACAAATCTGTGCTAAATTTGGTACTCCTAATGGCTCACAAGAAAAGGAAATAATTAAACAAGAAAGAAAAATATCTACCTTTGCTTTAGAGTTTTCCTTCTAATGTTTAAAAACCTACGTTATTCTTTGTTGCTGTAACTGCCAAAATTTGATGGCACTTGGAAAAACTTAACCTGGTTGCTTTTAACGGACACAGTATCATTGCCCCTGCATTGACACCAAAAAAATCCTGCATTGTCGCTGTTCTCTTCCCCTCCCCTATTATCCTTCCTTTAGACCCTTCCCTGGTGATTCTGAGAACTGAAATAAACCAAAGGAGTCCCTCAGAATGCAGTACAGTTTGCTCTGCTAACTCATGAATAAGAAAAAATATGATCGTACTACGTTTTTCTCAGAGGAAAGCCTGGAATACAGTCCAGGCCCAGGATGTATTCTCAGTCTAAAATGGACAAACTTTATATATGTTTTGACAGAAGATGAGCAACAAACATGTTAAAAATGGAAGTATTTTCTCAAATTAATTAATTTCATGTTTTATTCTGTAAATAACTTGTGTGGTCATCACTAAACATGTAAGTACTCAAATGCTTCTGTGCAAACAAGTGTGTGGTTTCTTGAAAATGAGTTTAAATAATATAGACAAGTATTGACTTATTTCCTTACTTGCAGGGAATAATTAAGTTTGCAAAAACAGGAGCTACATATTATACTTCAGGACTCAGCCTGAATTTGCAGTGTTAAATCTCAGATGAAAACCTGGCACTCCTAATGCCAATGTAGTTTTGCTGCTGACTTCCAAAAGGCTAGGATTTCTGCTGAATTGTACCAAATGTAAAAATTAATTTTGGAAAAATAATGAGAACATTATTATGATTCATCAAAACTCCATATGGCTGCTGCTAAGAGTGCTAGGTCTGCAAAATAACTATCATGCCTAAATACTACTATATGTACGAAAGTCCCAAATTTAGATCTTCCAAACACACTTCCAAATGTGGAAAATGAAATTTCATTTAGGGAAAAAGAAAAAAAGGTATGTTACCTTCCTTTTTTACATTGATGACTGTTAGTTCTCAGAAGAGTAGAAAAGAGGTAGGAACAACATTAAATTATATTAATGATGTGTCAACCATCCAAATTCTTTAATTACAACTAAATGTTTACATAAATAAAGATCAAAATAAAATGCACAAGTACTTTCTTTGCCTCCATTCCACAGTACAACGTTAACATTGATTGTAAAGAATTTTTCTCTATATTATTAACTGCAAAAAGTCACTGCCCCTTTGCAAGCAAACTCAAAATCAGGATAGAATCTGCAACATCTCTCCTTAACTAGCATCCTTCAACGCATAAGCGCGTGTATGTTTGTATGTGTGTGTTTATGTCAGTGTTTGGAAAAGGAGGACTGCATGGTGGATAGATACACAGAAATGTACCAAGTGCAGCAGACATTAAAAAATGGTGTTTGGCTTCAGGGAAGAGTCAAGTTTCCATGACACTCCATACAACCCCCAGGCCTGGGGAGTCTAATCCCTTGGTTTGGTGCTAGGGAGCACTCCTGAGAAGTTTACCCAATTTGCACAAGCCCTGTGCATCTAGGTTTTCCTGCCCTGATTCTAGGTCTCTGAATTGATGTTGCTTCCCCAAGAGGTCTCCTTCACCATGACTGTTCCCCAGAGATCAGCCCCACTGCTGTTCATCTGGATAGTCAAACTCAGTATTCTGCATCCCAACTGCTTCATATTCTCAAATCTTTATCATTATGTCTACACTCAGCATCCTGTATCCCAGTTGCCCTTTACTCATGGTGTTGATCCATCATTCCCACACCTCTTATCCCCACTCAGCATCCTGTGACCAATTGTGTCACTCCCCATTTACTGCTGTCCCTTGCACATACGCACATACAAATTCCTACCCTCCTGCTGCAAGGGGCAAATTGAGAGTCACCTGCTAAATTATTTATGTTTGGAGAGCAATCACAATATTTAAGGTTTCTCACACCCTATGTAGTAATCATGGCAAATTGTACTCCCAGCATTTCTGTTGATCAGGGCCTGGAGTGCTCCCCTCCCAAGAGTTTAGCTGCCTGCACTCAAGGCCAGCTCATTGATAGGAAGACATCAACTTGGGAAGCCTCAATCAGCCTTGGAGCTCATCAATAAAAGCTGGAAAGCAGATCAGCAGAGGCTCCCCCAAACAGCTCTGTTAAGTCTTAACATGGCCTACCCTCCCTTTTCACTCAACTTCACAGCAAGAGTTGCTTCACAGCAACTTTTAAGCTGAGATGCTCTTATGCTTCCTCCCTGCCTGAGAAACTGCAGCTGCACAGCAGCAACCAAGCCCATGCTTAGCCAAGTACCTTACTGATTGGATCCTGACTATGTCTCCCAGACTTGACTTCCCGGCTTAACCTGGGACCCGCCACATCACTGCAGACTCACCTGAGTATGTGTACTCTTGGCTGCCCTGGTTACCCTCACCAGACTTGCTCTGCTCTCACGGACTGTTGGACTGCCCTTCGGTCAACACAGCTACAACCTCTGCTCCCATGTTATCATGCTTGGCTTCCAGTTCCTTCCAGGACCAGAAGGTCCTTCCCTTCTGGAGCAACCTGCTCTTGCTGCTAATGAGTTAGGGATTTAACCAGCTTTCTGCACATTCAGAATTTTCTTCAATTTTGACTACTTTTCAATAATTAGCCCAACTTCAGCTGACCTGAATAAAAGCATAAAACTTGAAAACTGCGCAAATGGTGTCTGACAACAGCATCTGATTTTACAAATAAACATTATTTCTGTTCCATTTTCTTGTATAATTATACAGGCTGTACTAGTGGAAAACTCCACTGCATGGAATGGCATTTAAATTGAAATAGTTCTGAATGGTGATGATTTTACATACCTGAGGCACCCGTTTGGATGAAACAAAACTGGTCACTTCTATTGCAGGCAGGCCTGTTTTGGAAAGCCGGTTGATTAACTCAATTTTTATATCAGTTGGGATTATCACCTATGGACATGAAGACATACTATAGTAAAGTATTTCATGCGGTACGAAACTTTTGTAAGTTAAATGTTCTCAGTACATAATCAATACTTTTTTTTTTTTTTTTAAATAATGAACTATACCCGTACATTGTACCATAACTATAGTGTTTCCTGACAGTAGGAAGCTACGGCATAAGGAAAGCACTAGGCAGTATACATGATCCTACTCCATTTTTTGCCCACCACAAAAGAATGAGGAAGCACTTCTGTGTAACTGGTTATAGATCTGGCCTCACTAATAGCTAGTAACCAAACACCAACCTACCAAAGAAGCGACAAAGGAAACGGCAACACAGAATAGTCCAACCAGAGAAAAATAGGGGGAAAAAAGCTCCACAGCTGAAGCAGAGTAATTCCATTCTGTTAATACTACTACTATCTTTGAGATCAGTAACGATACACATAAGCTCATCCTGCTCTTTGTGGAAACAGATGACTGTTTTGATACATGTGCCCTATTTTACATAGTCTCTTTCAATCTTCTTTCATGCTTCCCGCCCACTCTTCAGGCAAATATTATCAAAAGACTAATTTCTTTTTTTTTCCATGCTTGTTCAGCAGGAAGTACGACAAAACCCATTGTACCATTCCTACTATAGTAGCACTTGTAGCACAAACACATATTATAAAGATAGCCAGTGTTTCACGGCGTTTACCAATTATGTCATGACAGAATATTATTGACTGACAAGACAAATTCCAGAAAAAGAAATGGCAGTTGAGTAACAGAAAGGCTAGGCAACTAAGCATAGAAAGAAATTATATTATTTAACATCTGGCTAAATAGTTATATACTTTTATTATCATATACAAAAAAGTTATCAATACAAAAAGAAATAAATATATTTCTAGCATAAAATGGAAGAAACATGATTAGCAGGATATACATGTTTTGCACAATGAAAATAACACCAGCATCTGTCAAAACACACCAAAAAAAAAAAAAGGAGAAAAATTACCTTTTCATTTTGTAATCCATCCCTTGGCCCAACTTCTACAATCTTTATGTACTCAGGCAGTCCAGATTCTTGAGATTCCTGAAATAAAAATCAATACTGAAACACAAAACAATGAAGGTCACCAAGATCAAAGTACAGCTTGTACTTGTCCTCCCATATGATTCTGGGTATAAAGTCATACTGCCAACATTAAGTGTGTTCATGGGCTGCTATGGGGAGAACTAACTCCATCTCAGCCAGACCCAATACACCTTTAAAAATCTGTGAGAACATGTTCCACACCTTCAGTTAGGGAATAAAAGTTAAAAGTAGAAGTTATCTATGTGCATGTTCCACAGCTCCTCTGAGGCCACGACTTTATAAAATTGTACCTAAACCCCTAAATGAACATTGTGTTTTACAGAGTGAAAAATATTCCCATTTCAAAAAGCTTCCCAACGAGCGACCCAGTCCTCCAAACTTCTAATTGAATGTTCTCAATTCAACTGAACGGTTACTTCTCTGTAAACTTTTGCAAGACTAGGCTATAAATCTGAAAAGAACAGAGCAGTCAAGAAATGTTGAAGAGATTATTAATGAAAGATGAAAGTAATTCCTCTGCCTGAAGATGAAGGTTTTAAAGAAGGATTTAAAGGAGAACAAGGAAGGCCCCTGGTAGACAAGAAGAAGAATTTTCCAGGTGTAAGAGCAGCTCTGGAAAGGCAGGAGGTTGACGGTGACGGGAAGGCAGGACAAAGGGCTAAGGAGAGCACAGGGAGCTGAAGGAGGAGGAAGGAGAAACAAGAGCAGAAAAGTCAAAGGAAATTAAACTTCCTTTTTTATTATTTAGCTGCTCTGCTATTGAATCAAGTTGACAGGTGTGGCAGTTAACGTAACCTGGGCCTTTAAGTCCTGAAACGGTTCAGAGCAGTTGCCTACAGTGACCCCCAAAAGCTGTGTGTCTTTAAAAACACATCGAATGGCCTACTTGGGGCCTGCTGCCCGTGCCTGGAGGGGCGGACAGGAGGGACGCAGGCAGCCTTGCCAGGAGCACTGGAGATGCTGAATCCAGAATCGGACCCAGCGTCTCCACTCCAGTGTTGAAAAGTCCGTGGTGGGATTAGCGCAAGCTACCTGCGGGACAGCTGCTCCCACCACCTCCCCTGAGGGAAACGCCATGGGAAGGACGACACTGTCAACCCAGGGCGATGGCTCCCGCCTGCGGGCCCCACAGCTCGCCCGGAGACCAGAAATCACTTCTGCACTGCGTAGATACAGCCACTAATCTCACATCATCCACAACCAGATGAAAAACCCGTTTTTCATCCCTCCCTGGCTAGTATCAGCAGGGTTGCTTCAACCAAACGGCCGCGAATTTCTCCTCACGGTAACGGAAAATGAGCATTCCTACAACACCTTTGGTTTCTCCCTGCATTCTCAGTGCCCGTGGATTAAAGTAAGCTCTCTGCAGCACTAGCCAAAATACAATAAACATATTTCAGAGCACTTACTGTGTATTTAACTGAGCCCAGTAAAAAGAATGGGAAACAGCTGTATAGTATCTATTTGATCACATGGAACATCTGGTAAGTTAAAACTCTGTCAGGCTGTACTAAGCCCACACTCGCTGACAGTATAAACCTACTTAAATGTGAAGGTAAAACCTTCACATCTGCTGCATATTGTTTCTCTTTTTTAAGTTATTTTCACAAATATGGCACCGCTTCAGCACTACAGGCATAAATCTGGGTTATTTCATGATTATCAGAATCTTCTTGTTACAAGACAAATGCCACAGCTGCACTATGAGTAAAGTTGTGACTGGAAAGAAAAAAAGGAGCTAAAATAGATTATGTGAACCAAAGTTTAATTTAGAGCATGAAAAATGTCCATAAAACTTCGGTGGCAAAAATGTTCAATTTCTAGGCCAAATCCTGTAAATCCTATTCAGCTCCTACTGTGGTAAAACTTTTGCTGAAATCAAAGAGCTGTACCTGTCTTTACAGAACAGTTCACATAGCTACAGCACGTGCAGTAGCCATTCACACAGCCGTTCAGGGGATGTCTGCAGCCCTCGGATTTCATAGGGGACAGAAGTTTGGAAGGGACATTGCAGAAAGGCATTCAAGTATCGATTTTTATTCTCCATCTGTGATATTACAGGCGTACAATCTCTTTGAGCCATAGTCCAGGTCTCTCACCCCATGATTTCTCTATAGCCTTCCTGTCCACTAGTCAGTCCCAACTTGAATTCACTGTTCTTGAACACAACACTGAGAACCATGTACAGGTTGACTCTCACAAGGGCCACACAGTGGAAACTCAAGGCAGTACTAGAAACAAATCCTTACACTCTTCGAGCTGATGAACTAACAGCTTAGAGTAAACACCTTGGCTCTGAGTCCAGAAGAGTCTTGCTTTGCATTGAATTTCATCTAGTTTCCTCTATAGTACATTGATTCCTTGTGTCTTCAGAGTCACTCAGTTCCTCCTGTGTGGCATCCAGTGTGGTACTGATAATGTCTCCTGTCTTTCTGTCATCAGCAGATCTTAACACCTTGATATTTTCTTGTGAAAACATTTGGACTAACATGATTACCTTATTTTAATACAAATATATATTATCTCAAAAAATTTGGGTTAATGCTATAGAAGAAACACGTTTTAAAAAAAGACCTGGGAACTCCACCAGCAATGTCTCTTTGGTCTAATAAATCTGCTTTCAACATTATCTCTTATTTCCTCCTCAGCCCGTTTCTTACTCATCTCACAAATTCTGTTCTGATCATCCTTCTCCCCAACATAACTAATAATTTCTCTTGTGCTGCATTGCTGAAGCTCCGATAACAAGCAAGTAAAAGGGAGGCAGAATACTTAGGTTCAGGCCCCTGTGAACTATTTATGCATTTTACAGTGCATAATCACTGGATAAAACTCAGAAACAAATTACAGACTGTAAGAGTACATATATCATCTTCTGCTAAAAGGACTCTAGCATTTTTCCATTCTGTGGCCCAAGTTGAATCAGAGGAGTAAAGGAGTACCTATTCACCTTAATCTCACCTGTCCTATGCATGAATACTCAGCAACTAGCTGTTAGGACATTCTTCCAATATGTGGAGATAGGTACTTAACAGTGTTGTCAGGAAGAAAAAAAGAGACTCCCTGCTTTCTTGGGAAGTCTTCTGATCACAATGTCACACTTGCAGAGTATTTGGACATCACTTGAAACACAGCTGAAGTCATCTGAGCCACCAGTCACATTCTGTGCCAGGCTCAATGCCATCTGCATTCACTAGGCAAGCTTCAAATCCACAGAACTGCCTGAAGCCTTTAAGAACTTATGCAGAGTTTAAACACTTCTCTGTTTACTATCTGGATGGCAGTAGACCTTAACCAGGACTCAGGTTTCATGAATTGAGGGATCAAGTTCCCTGAACTCTAACTCAGTGCACCATCCCCTTGGGTAAAAGGAAGGATTTTCAGAACCAACGAGAATGCCTTCAAGTATGGCATTAAATGGTCTACAGATAATAAATAGAAAATATAAATAGAGATAAATAGAAAAATGAAAATTAGTTTTTATCTTTTAGGAGAATCCAAAAAAGGTAAACCTTACAGAAATACACAAGTACTTACATTAAACACTAAACATGTCAGGTAAATCATTTTGTTTCAGAAAAAAATATTTACTAAATTGTATTATATGAAGTATTTTCATGTAACAAAGCATAAAAAGTAGTTATGGTAATACTTCGAGGTGACTGCTTACTGAATTATTTAGTGGCTCTGTTAAAAAGTAATGACTACCAAAGTACAATGTTTGAAATATCAAAAAGGAAATAGTTGACATAAAAGACAAAGAGCTTGGAAAATCTGTTTTTTCCACGTATCTTAGCCTTGCCAAGGGAGAACAAAAAGCATATAAAACCACAAAAAACTGCCTCCCTCAAAACAGAATGCAGCCAAAGAGTCTTTTTAAAAAAATTAGAAAAAGGAAAACCATACCATTCAGCTTGAGACACCAAATGCCAAATTTCTGTATGGAAACATTTTCCCTGAGCTATAAATAGCTGAAAATTCAAGTTTATTATAGAAAATCCCAGTAACCTTTAGTTAGAGCAGTATAATCTTCTTAACCATAAATGTAATCAAATTAAGTAAACACACTTTTTTAAGCTCTGTCACTGCTTCACTACGTCTAGTAAAGGTGCTGAGGTTCCTTCAGCCTTCTGATTTTTATTCCATGCAGCTCATTCATATGAGCCCTAATAGCACTGGCAAGTATTACCCAGACCTGCTCAAAAGTAACTGAAAGGACCCAAAAGTAAGGGAGAAAAATCTGGAGGTTCAGGTCTTTTCATTCTAACCAAGCAAAGATGAAGCTCTGCTTTCCTTTTCCACAAGGTGGTGTTCTGGCACAGAGGACAACTGAGCAAAGGTAGGTCCATCTTGTACCAGAAGAATTATTCAGAAGAGCAGTTTTAAACAAGGATCAGCAGGGAGGTGGCATCATAACTCCATATGTATATGTGCAGTGACATGCACAAATGCCCAAAAACTGGGAGAACGCTCTGAGATAAATAACACAATTGCTGGAAGGAGAACAAAGAAAACAGCGGTCAATCTTCTGAACACATAGATGTCTCTAAACTTTACAAGGCATAGAGGAAATAAACAGGAAGAAATTAAAATCTTCGTACATAATCAAATAATGATTGAAGTGGTATTGCAGAGACTTGTTTATATAGTTCACACTACTGGAAGGCAGATATAAAACATATTCATTCCCAAGTTAACTAGGGGGAAAATGGAGAAGATTCACCTGAGAGATATGAATAATATATACAGATACTCAGAAAACAGTGGGACACACCTGGTGAATCCCTCAATAAAGATAAACTGAGTATTCGTCCTAGAACTTCTGTCATATGCTGCTGACATGACCACTGGGAGAACAATAGCCCGGAACAGGCCAAAAAACTCATCAGCACTTGAGAAGTTTTCGTTAAGTACATTTTTCTTATCATATCATTGCATATTCGTGACCTGAATGATAACATAGAAATACCACAAACAAAGCAGTTGTGAGT